TCTGCCCACTCACTCCCTGCTCAGCCTTGCCCGGCGTGCTGGCTCAGGACAAGCCCCCGGCTCAAGGGCTGAGCAGCTCTCCATGCCTCCCGCCTTAATCACAAGCGTGGAGCTCACAGCCTGCCAGCCCCGGGGGAACGGCTGTCTCCCCACGCTCAGACAGGGCGGAGGTGTTTCCGACACCTGGAGCAGTCACACCCTTCTCCTCGCTGCTCCCCCTTACCGCCGCGGGTGATGGTGCACAAGCCAGACCCCCCTCAACGCTCTCTTTCATGCCACAGGCTACTTCATCCACGACACCCTTGACATTATCTTCAACCATCAGTCCCGTTCGTCTTGGGAGTACCTGGTGCACCATGCCATGGTGAGTACAGCCAGCACCGAGGGCTGCTATGCTCCCCAGGGCTCAGCCCACCCAGGTTTCATGCACTAGGGCAGGGCAAGTCAGAGCCCTTCCCTCCACTCACCCTGGCTGCCAGGTAGGCTCTGCATCAATAGGGAGAGAGTGCCTGGCGGGGCAGGACTCCTGCCAGCATCAGCTCCAAGTGCCAGGAGCCAGACAGGCTGCCGTGCTGGGAGAGGGAAGAGCTGGAGCCTTGTCCCAGCTCCCCAGTGCAGGGAGGTGTAACTGATCCCAGGGGGACTCTCTTCAAACTGGTTTTCTGTTTGCTCAGGTGCTTGGGCAGGGAGCTGGGATATCTGGCTTGTGGGGGACAGCACTGTGCACTCCCACTTAGGGTATGCTGGGGACCCTGGTGGGGAAGGACTTGCTTTCCCCAGGGCAAGGAGAGCTGACCCTGCTTTGTGTGTGTGTGTGTGTCCCAGGCCATCTCTGCCTTCGTCTCGCTCATCATCACAGGCCGCTTCCTGGTGGCAGCGATGCTGCTGCTGCTGGTGGAGGTGAGCAACATCTTCCTCACCATCCGCATGCTGCTGAAGATGAGCAATGTGCCTTCCCCAGCGCTCTACGAGGCCAACAAGTACATCAACCTGGTGATGTACTTCGCCTTCCGCCTGGCACCCCAGGCTTACCTCACCTGGTATTTCCTCCGCTACGTGGAGGTGCAAGGCCAGGGTGCCTTCCTCACTGCCAACCTCCTGCTGCTCGATGCCATGATCCTCATGTACTTCTCCCGCCTCCTCCGCTCCGATTTTTTCCCCTCCCTGCGCAAGGGTTCTGCGGGGAGAGATGTGGATGGTGAGAAGTTTCTGATAGACTGAGATGCGTGTGCCGAGAGGAACCCAGACCCCAGCTCCTGGAGGTCTTGGGCTCTCCAAACCTGCTCTGATGTGCCTTAGGGCTTGCTCCCTGGCCCCAGGCCCTGCCTTCACCTGCTCTGCTGCCTAAAAGCACTTCCCTGCTGGACCAGCCCGACAGCCTCGCCAAGCCGCGGGGACACCGCCAAAGCCAGGGGCATGGCCGATGGAGAAGCAGCCCAAGCCAGCTTCCACATGGGCAGCTGGAGGGCCAGGGGTGGCTGCACTTCGCAGCTGATGGCCTGAGAGGGTTGTGAGTGAGGGGATGAGTCCCTCCCGTGGTGATGTTGGGTGTTACGTGCATTAAAATCGGTCTGTTCACTGCTGCCGCAGCACGCCTGGGCTGGCTCTTCTGTGGGGCAGAGCAGGTTAGGGGCTCCCCCTGACCCAGGGGGAGCCTGGGGGGACAGGGCTATGGGAAAGGATGTGCTCCATTCCCAGCAGAGGGCTGGCAGTCCTCAGGGAGGGAGAAGGCACATTTCTGACACCTGCTTTGTTCTAGGGACGCTCCAGGGGTGCACTCCAGCCTGCTGGGTCCTGCCAGCCCAGCTGAGCCTTAAACAGCAAGAACCCATCCCTTACATGGATGGGTTCTCCTCCTCTTCCTCATTCAACTGCTCTTCCAGAGACCCAGGGCTGTGTAGGGAGCAGTTGAAGGGAGCCAGGACAGGTACAAAGCCTCGGGGCCATCTGTGACCTGCCTGTCTCCAGTCTGGCTGGGCTGTGTGACTCACCCAGCAGCCACGTGAAGTGGAGCTGGCATGGAAAAGCTGTGAGGCCATGGGCTCCTCCTGGAAGACTACTGCTTGCTTGCATCCCCCCAGAGCAATCTTTAGCAGCACAGCACAGCTGCAGCCCTGTGAGCATGCTGGGCTCTCTCCTGCAGCCACAGGACCAGGCTGCCTCCAGCAGCATCCCCAGGGCAGTGGGAGGAGAGGGGGGTTCAGCTTCCTGGGGGAGTGGGGCCAGAACTTGCCCAGCAGGTCCTGTGGAGCACCTGAGTATTGGAGGGGCAAATCCTGCTGACGTGATGATAGCTCCAGGATTGCAGTGGATGGGCATTAGCAGTGGGGCTTAGAGGGACTCCTGCCCAGCCTCTGCTCTGGGCAGAATCTGTCCCGCCCACCACGCTGCCAGCCCAGCTCAGGCAGAGACAGATGCTTCAATTGGAGTAAGCCAGTGATTAAGGGGAAGCAGTGGGGAATCACCACTCTAGACAGCCAGGAAACACCCCACAGGGTCAGGATCCTGCTGGGACTCCCCAGCATGCACCAACACCGTGGCAGGCACATAGGATGTATGCAGGGAGCAGCAACAGAGACAGGATACCTGGGACACTGCATGGGCAGGGACCTATGCCAGATCCACACCTGTTGCCTCGTCCCCTCCTCATTCCAAGCACAGCTCAGCAGCCCTGGCAGGACACAGCCTTACCCTCAGCAGCACATCCCAACAACTACACATCTTCCCAGCTGCAGCTTAAGCCCTGTGGCCTTTCTGCACTGGCTCCACCTGCAAACACCCCATAAATCTTAGTTTCCCCATCACCCTGATCATTGCACCTCCTCTCCCATTGCATCTCTGCATAGAGCAGACACAGCTCTGCCCCAGCAGGTCACAGGCTCAGGTAACCAGCCCACACTCCCACTGTCCTGAAGCAGCGTGGAAGGGCCAAGCATGACAAAGCTCAAAGAAAGGAGCCATTCCCCTGCTGGCTTCCAGCAGGAGCATCTCGCAGCAGTGCAGCCCTAGGGCAGCTGTGGATCAGGCCTGCTGCCAGCCAGGAGCAAGAGGCAAGTGAAGTGCCAGGGCAGCAGCCACTGGGCAGAGTTGAGGCGAGGTCAGGGCTGACTGCAAGTCATGCTGATGTGGAATCCCTCCCAGCCTCCTGCTGCAGCACACGCCAGCTCTTCATACCCACTCCCCGCCGAGCAGCACCACCAGCTTTGCTACAAGAGGGGTAGCAGGGTGATTCTCCCCCCACATTCCTCTTGGGGCAAAGTGGCCTGGGGCTCAGGGAGCCCTGCAGCCACTTGTCCTGGGCAGGAGCTTGGGTGGGTGCCTAGGAAGCAGTGCTCTCCCCTCCAGGCAGTTTCTCATCCCCTACAGTAGGCAGGGAGCATCTGTGCCTCCAAGCCTAGGTGAGGGGTCTCCAACCCAGAGCCACACAACCCAGCAGATCTTCACCCCCAAGTACTGAGAGCAGCTCCCCCTTTCCATCCACCACACCACAAACCACCCCCCCAGGCCTCCCCAAGAGGGAGGCCAAAGAACTCAGTGTCCCATTGCTCAAGAGTTCAATTACTCCAATCAATATTTGGTCACAGCTTTCATCATCTTTCTCCATCAAGTCTAGCTAAGTACTTAAGCTGAAGTACCCCTAAAGGCTTATCTGTAATTTCCCCATTCCCTGCTCACCCAGTGTTCCATGTTCTCCTGATTCCAAAGCACTCTAAAAGCCACTTTAATCTACAAGCTTAAAACCAAACACTGCAGCGTCTGGAAATGGCCCTGAGGATGGTGAACCCTGCGAGGAACAGCATCAGGGAAACACACACTGCAGCACATGGAGCAGAGATCATGCCAGAAAACGCCCACAAAGCCTCTGCTGCTGGATGAGTGTGAGGGCTTCAAGTGAACCTGCAGCATAGGCAAACAGCTGATACACTCAGAAATGTGACAGGACACTCGTGCCAGATCTGACCCACAAACAGGTTTCTGTTGTGGTCACCACTTCTCTGCCATGGTCTGCTCCACAAGGAAGTGCTGCAGGACACTGAAAACACTGATGACGAACCCATCCCAACTACACAGTGCAAGGAAATGAAGGACACCAGGGGTTTTGGGTGAAAAGATACTTGAGATTTGGGGGACTGTCACCTCCTGTTCACCCACAGCAAAGGCGAGAGGTCCCAGAAACCCTCCTGAGCAGGACAGCAGTCAGCTCTGCCCACTGCCCCAAAGAAGGGAGGAACCCCCTTCACCAAAATGAAGCCCCAAAGGTTGTCTAGGTGCTCTCTCTCACACAGGCTATGCTGTCACAAAACACAAGAGCCCTCCATGGTGTCACAGGGTTTATTATCCTGTCTGTACAGTCCTCAGCAGATGCAGTTTAGATGATTCCAATCTGTAAAGAAGCAAGAGACATTAAAACAGATGTTATATGGTGGCAGAAAGACAGAACCTTCACCTCAGACATCACTGCCATAGCTACATCCCCCCAGGATTCCTGTCTTCTGAGGACAGGCTCCTTTCCTCCCAGACCTGCCCAAAAGCTTTACACATCTGCTTTGCACATTCATTCCAGAGTGATCCCTGTGCTGTACCTTCCCCTACTCCACTTTGTCCCACCTCTGCCTCCCTCAGCCACCTCAAGGACTGAACTGAGAGAATGTGGTTGTACTCCTGAACATTCAGATTCTGTCTGGCTACAGGGACACAGAAGTGCCACCATGCTTGAAGCACAAGTTCCTCACATGCACAGCGGGAAGAACAACCAGTGGAGAAGACACAACTAACAGGGAGCAACAAAGTTTCAAGGATGTCTCACCTTGTTGGCTACATCCAGTGCATCATAATCTGGAGCTAGTCGGACGTAAGCCTTCTTCTCCCCATCAGGCCTAGAGAGGAACAGGAGGCATCAGAACAGAGGCACAGCTCCTCCCCCCTGCCCTGCACTGTCACTATTCCCATGTGCATCAGTGGTTCCTTTGGAAACATCACCTCAGTCAGTGGAATTAAAGTTCACATCATTTGCACAGGCCTCCTTGGGTGTTAGAAGAGCTCCCTGAGACCAACAGTTCCCACTTCCAGCAAGATGTGCTCTGTCACAACTTGCACTTTTAATACTTAAGTCACTGAAGTTTGGTTGGAAAAGACCTCTTACCTCATGGAGTTCAACCTGTGACCTAACATCACCTTGTTAATCTGACCACTGCACTAAGTGCCATGTCCAGCCATTTCCTGAACACCTCCAGGAACAGTGACTCCACCACCTCCCTGGACAGTCTGTTCCAAAGCTTAACAACCCTTTCCATTAATAAATTCCTCCTGATGTCCAGCCTGAACCTCCCTGGTGCAGCTTAGCGCTGTGTTCTCTTGTCCTCGAGAGGACATCACTACAGAGCTTTATCCCTCCCAAGAGCTCCAACAGCTGCTGAAACTCACGCTTGTTCCCACTTTATGCTAAAAATGCTTCTTTTGAAGCACCTCACACCCACCAGTGACCTGTTCTCCCCTCATTTCTCACCTAATCAATGTGTTGACCTTGGCCACATCGATATCATACAGCTTCTTGACAGCCTGTTTGATCTGGTGCTTGTTTGCCTTGACATCAACGATGAAAACCAGAGTGTTGTTATCCTCAATCTTCTTCATTGCTGACTCTGTGGTCAGAGGGAACTTGATAATGGCATAATGGTCCAGCCTGCAGGAGAGACCCTGTGCTTAACAACAGAGTACTGGCAGGTGCTTCCCTGCATTTCAGGGGCTTGCTTTGGGGTACATCAGTTGCTAAAAAAAGTTATAATCAGAAACTCTCAGGCTTTGGTCGCTTTAAATCATCACCTGCACCCCAAACAGCTCCAGAGGTCTGCCACCACCCTGGCACCAGTAAGACACAGGTCCCCACCCCATCCCAGCTCCCACCTCCAAACCCCACACCAGGGCATATCCCCACGCCCCCCACGCACTTGTTCCTCCGGGGAGCACTCTTCCGGGGGTACTTGGGCTGCCGCCGCAGCCGCAGGGTCTTAGGCCTGCGGAACGTGGGTGAGGTGCGGATCTTCTTCTTCTTGTGGCTGTGCACCCCCTTCAGGACAGCCTTCTTGGCCTTCAGCGCCTTGGCCTTCGCCTCTGTCTTCGGAGGCACCGCTGTGAGGACAGCTCAGTCAGCACTACCAGGCTCTGCAGGATGTGCTCCCCTGCTGCCCATGGCTTTCCTTGG